TATATATATATATATATATATAGACACCAATATAATAAATCCAACACTATCTAGTTGAATAAGAATATAAAACTCATAAAAGAAATAATCAATCCATATCTTTAATGGAATCAACCCATTTTTTTTTTTTCCTCCTTCCTTCTCTTTCTTTTTCTTTCTCCCTTAAGCCGCCTCTTTCTTTCTTTATTTCTTCCTCTTTTTTGACTGCTTACATATATATTTATACAAATTAAAAGGAACCCTACAGTAACCCTACAATTCCTCATTCCTTGATAACACTAATATCCCATTTTTTAAAAAATATCACAAATTGACCTAAAAACTAATATTATATATATTTTAAATTTGGGATATTACATGACGTTTGAAAATAAATTAATTTTTAGTTTTACCATTTTACTCTTTAATTTGAAAATATTTATAAAATATGTCATAACATAAATAATAATCACTATTATTATATTGTAGTCTACATTTAACAAATGTTTGATCAAAATAAATAAATAAATAAATAACATTTGAATAACACAATAAATGAACAATAATAAATTGAATAACATAACAAGTGAACAATAACCTCTGATAAAAAAAAGAATAATAAATAATAAATAATCAAATAATATTGAAAAAATACAATAAATTAGATTTCATTAACAATATGTGTGTGTGCAGTCCTTGTGTGTAAGTATGTGTGTGTGCAATGCATATGTCTGTGTGTAATCGTGTGTGTGTAGTGCGTGCATTTGTGTGTAATTATAATTATGTACGTATATTTTTGTTACAGAAGACAAGAGAAAGAAAAAAAAAAAGATCAACAAAGAGAATATATAAGTTAGGGGTTTTGGAGAGAAGACTAATTAGAGTTTTAATAGGATTGTAAAATATTTTGGGGTATAATTATCATAGTGTAAATATTATTAAAAAATAATTTTGCTGAGCGCTTTCAACTTTCAGAATTAAGTAAAAGATCTTCTACTTATTATTGTAGCTTATTTTTAAAAAACACTTAACATATTAAAATAGTTTATATTTTAGTTATCAAACGGACTTAATTAATAAATGTTGAATACATTCATTTTAAATATTGAATTTGGGTTAACAAGCATACCTAAGTTATCCTCCTAATTTCGAGTTAGAACAAACATGTTCGTGTCAAAAAGCATGTCTTGCAAGTACACCAAGTTTTATTTCATGCCTATAGTACTTCTGCTGGCTTTCTTATTACAAAACTTTCAGTAGCAAATTTGCTCAATTGCTTGTGCGTCCTCCCTCTTCCGTCAATTTCTTTGGGTTTCATTTTTGCGAACACAACTTTTGAAGGGAAGTTGAAGTCAGAGATGGAGACGGAGACGAATGTTTTATCTCTTTTCCAGTGCAATGACTATATCAAAATACTTTGCCTTCTCCACATCTAGTTCTTCATCCACACACTCCCCAAACCTCTCAAACAGATTATCAATTATAGAGTCACCAAAATGACTAGAAAACATAGGCACCACAACAGCTCTTATGCTTTTGGCCACAATTCTCCCAATGTTGTCATTACCAAAGGTCTTGTGTTTGTCTTCAAAGACTTCTAGCTTGTCAAGTGTAAAGGACCCCTCTCCTTCAATTATATCTTTTACTTCATCCTTGTAGGGCGTATAGAAAGGCATATTGAATGAATCAATGTCTTCCTCTTGAACGAGCCCCTGATATCGAAGAAAATGATGCTTAAGATACCAAATTTTAGCAATTAGAAAGAGGGGAGGGGAGGGGAGGGGGGGAGGGAACAGAATTCGATTGCTAGTTTAACCTCAGGCACCATATCGAGAGGTGATTTCGTTAGCAGTTCCCAAACAAAGCAACAATCGTCCCAGGTGGGATCTACAATGCTCCTACAGATGAATATTAGAAGCAAACGCCCACCGGGTATTTTTTCCTTAAGAGCGTAACTACAGAAACCTTGAGAAGTCCCTCTGGAATTGCTTTGAATATGCCTCAAATACATCAAGAGGACTTGTCTTGGCATTGTATATGTTCCCTTTGTTATTCTCCAGTCCTTCAGGCACCTGTTATGTTACGGTACATTACACTTTGATCCTTTAACTATAGATACTTCAATTATTCCACATTACCCAAACACAAACGTCTACTAACATTTTGGATGGAAACTACCAATGTGTCGGGACAAAGTGATAAAATCACAATAGTTAGGGAGACAAAATGAAACAACTTTCTGTCAAATTTGTAATAGATGTTAATAATTGGGGTAATTTGAAACTAATCACATTATGATTAGGGCTCTGTAAAAGATATGATGACTGAATCATTATGATTGAAGATGATGCTAACCTGAGAGAGCCAATGAAGACTGTAAGAGGAATGAACAAATTGCAGACTCTATTGGGAAAAACCTTCTATTGAAGGAGCCTGGCACTCCCGATACAAAACAAGGTGCTAACTGATCATCGTCTTCTCCTTTCTCTCTCTTGAGCTTGTTGTAAAATGGTGGCAAGGATTTGAAAACAGAGTTGAAATCATTCTCTGGAAGATCATTTGAGGAGATTTGAATCTCAGATGGTTGGCTACTGTTGTTGTGGGTGGATAATAACCCTTGAATGGTTTCAATAATATTGGAGATGACTAAAAAGGTGTTTGATCATGAAGAACAACCCAAGTCTGCCATTTTGAAACACTTGGGAAAGCCAACTTTGAACATAGCTTTGATTGTATCGTCTAGAAAAGGTTGCACCTTTAATATCATTGTTCTCTGTAAGATAGATTTTGTTAATTTTTTTTTCAAATGGGATATATAGAATGCATGTATTGATGAAATCCAATGCTTTTGTCTGTCTGTCTGTGAGAGAGAGAGTGACTTGAACAGTTGAGTTATTGGCATAGCTAGTGTCTCCTTTGCCAACATCCAGGTGTAGAAAGCTTTTGATAAATAGAATGCATGCATGTATTGATAAAATCCTACATTTTTGTCTATGTTTTTGGGTGTCTTTTGTCTGTGTTTGAGTGTGTGTGTGTCTTTTGTCTGTGTTTGAGAGAGTGTGTGTGTGAGAGAGAGAGAGGGAGAGAGAGAAATCTGAACACTTGAGTTATTGCCATAGCTAGTGTCTCCTTTGATGCCTGCATTCATGTGGAGAACGCTTTTGACAACCATGGCTTCCTTCTTCGTTAGAGTTGCTATTATATAGTGAAAGGCTACGGTACCGTCGACATTATCATACCAAAAATTATAACTTTTTAAGGTTGAATTATAATTTTTTTAAGATGTAAGTTACAACTTAAAATGAAATGATCGATCATAAAAAGTTGTGATCAATATCGAGAGTTTATGATCAATTATAGGTGTTTGTGATCGATCATGATCTTCCCTTTAACAATTGTAACTGCTCATTTTAAAGTTATTAATTTCATCATAAAAAATGGTAACCAATAGTACAATACTAGAAAAAAAATCGATACTATTATTGTACCTTGTTAATCTCAGTCATTAATTTTGATTTTGATGATCTTCAATTTTAGTATTTTGATCGGATAGAAAGTAAAGCTATGGTTATAAGTGAGTCTTAGTAATATTCAATGACAAAATTTGTTCTAAGCATAATTTTATTGCAAAAAAATAACATTTATGTGGTGTAATCAGATCCTCATATAGATGGAATATAAACATACTAGTTATTTTTCGTGCTTGAAGGCACAAAATATTAAAAAAATAGTCAACAATAAACAAATTTGTATTCACACCTAAAATCAAATTACAAAGATAGAGTAGAAATAAAAGAATTTAAGCACTGGTTATAGTGGAGGCAAGCGGTGGTAGCAATGGTGGGCAGTAGTGGTGGTGGTGGTGGGAGACGATGATAGTTGCGATGGATGATGACAACCGATTGTAATAGGGACATTATAGGTGACAATGGTGATGGTGGTTAGGGGACAGTGGGGGTGATATGGTAGGGGTGATGGTGGGATAGTGGCAGTTGTGGTAAGGTGACAGCAACGGTGGTGGTGGTAGTGGGGTTACGACAATGGAGGTGGTGGAGTAGTGGTGGTTGTTGTGGAAGAGGTGATGGTGGAGTGGTAGTAGTGGTGGCAATGACGATGATAGTGGGGGCGATAGGTGTGGTAAGGTGGCGATAGTAGTGGTGGTGGTGGTTGGGTGGCAGTGGTGGTAGTGGTGATTATGGTGATAGTTTCCAAACACTATTTTTTTAAAAGTACTTATTATAAATTATAAGTATTAAAAACACTTTTAAAAAGTCATTTCAAACACATCCTTAGAGCCCTATTTTTCATATTAAATTTGGAGTGTTAATATTAGCCGTCAGATTAACTTTAAAGTAAAATTTAAAGAAATCTCAAACGCAAATAGCAAAAGTCATTTTATTTATTTTTTGAGATTTGAATTGTATTGTAATTTATTATATACATATATTAGTTATTGCATGTGCCTGAAGACACAAAGTAATAAAAAATAGTAAATAATAAATATATTTGTATTCATATCCAAAATTAAATCACAAATATAAAAAAGAGATAAATGAATTTAATCATCGATTTGTAGTGGGGGTGAGAGATGGTGGGGCGACAGTAGTGGTGGTAAGAGACGGTGATGGTTGTGGTGGGTGTCAAAAATCGTGGTGGCGGTGACAACGAGAGAGGCGGCGATGGTGGTGGTGATAGCGACTAGTACGATGATGACGGTGGTGGTGGCGGTGACAGCAATGGTGGCAGCAGCGACGTTGGTGGGAGCGATGATGTTGGCGGTGGTGGAGGCAGTGTTGGTGGTGGTGGCAATAATGGGGGTGGTGGGTGTGGCGGCGGTGATGGTGGTGGTGACGACAGCGATAGTAGTGGTGACGGCGACAACGGTGGTGGCGGTGGGGGCGATGATGGTGGTGGAAGGGGCGGGGGTGGTAGGGTGGCAGTGGGGTGCAAGTGGCCGGGACGGCAACGATAGTGGGGTGGCGGAGGCGATGGCGTACGGGTGGGGTGGCAGAGGCGGTGGTGTAGGTGGTGGTGGCGGTATTGACATTGGTGGCGACTGCAGTGGTGGTGATGGTGGTAGTGGTGGCGGCGGTGGTGGTAGAGGTGGTGGCAGAGTGATTTCAAACACTATTTTTTTTTAAAGTATTTATGAGAAATAATTTTTAAAAGTACTTTTAAAATGTCACTCCAAACACATCCTTTAGAGGCCTATTTTTCTATTAAATTTATGGTGTTAATATTAGTCATTAGATTAATTTTAAAGTAAAATTTAAAATGATCTCAACCGCGAATAACAAAAGTCATTTTATTTATCTTTTGAGATAAATTATAAGCTATTTTAATTTTATATATAATTTTTCAATAATACTATGGAAGAGAGCTTTTATTTTTCGGAAATACTATGATTATCAAATTTTTTATCATTTACCATTTTTTGAATATTTATATCATTTTTTGAGTGATGGTTAGTAACCTTTTGGGCACCCTTATCATTTTTTTGGTTCACCCACCACTTTTTGAGTAAATTTTATCATTTTTTTTAAAAAAAAATTATTACCTTTTAAAATATTTTTATTTTATTTTTTGATATCATACTAAAAACATAAGTTTTAATGTCTTATTATTTTCCCTGGTTATGGGTAAGAGTGTATTAGATTCGATTTTGGTGGGACTGTTCGTATTTTTAAGATTTCCTTGGGAACGGTGTAATAATTGAGTGATCTCTCCCAGGCTACAATGCAAAAATAAATTATTGATGGACTCGTGGGATGGATGGAATTTATATGGGTAAATTTCACTAGCGTCTCGTGAGATTTGATTTTATTACACAGACACTTTTTTACATTTCAAAAATGACAGATTCTTTGACATTTGAACCAGGTTAGTATGATAACCACCAGGGGTATTCAAATTTTCGACTGGCCGTAAGTTTTTACCTTACTTGACCCTATTAAACGGCTAGCCACAAAAATCGAATAAGAATGTGAAAGAGTTTTGTTCTTCCGATTAAATCGGATAGGAATGCGGAATAGTCATTCATTTTCATTTCTACCCTACCTTACCTAGGCACATTAATATATATATATATATATATATATATATATATATAATATATATATATATATATATATATATAAACTAAAAAAAACCCTAATCGTCTAAGTCATTTCAGCACCTCACACGCCTCCTCAATCAATCCATTGCACTTCACGCCTCACATCTCAAGAGTCCTTTATCGTTCCAGTCCAGATTTCTAGTCCCGATTCCCACCCAGGTACTCTCTCTCTCTCTCTCTACTCTATCTGTTGTGGTCTGGCTTGGAAGGTCTGATCGTAGACTTCAACTATGCGACCTTGGTTTCTCACGAATCGTCTGGTCTAATTCGTCGGATCTTAGTTGCAGATATGTGAAATGATGATCCAAAAAAGTTCAAACTAGGAATTACATGAGCGAGATCCGTGATGGCAATTTTAGGAATTTGTTCCCTCACAATCTCAAATGACTTTAGGTTTTCACTGTCTTTGCCCCCTGCTACTTTCCTGTATTATCCATGTTTGTGTGTGCTTTTGGCCTTTGCATCATTCTTTGGAAGAAATTTGATAATAATGTATGTTCTTCTGCTAAGATCATCACATGGTATTCTCTTGATTGTTCATTGCATGTACGCTGTGGATATCATTTGAGAGTGCTTGTTTATGTGATGACCACAGATGCCTATTGATATTTTAGACACATTTTTTTATTGCATTTAGGGAAACTAAATTGGAAGATTCCATTTTATTTTAGGAAATTCCATATTGTAATTTTTTTTTTATCTCAATGCAAATTATTTCTATGAAATTCATTTATATAAGTGGCCTCGTGGTAATATTGATTGATGAGTATTCATGCTTAAGCCTTGATGCAATTTTGTTTATGCAAAAATATTATTATATTAGCATTTCTTGAAAAATGTATAACATACAGAACTTCAAAGATTATTGTTCTTACCTGTTAAAAAAGAAAAAAGAATACTCTTTCATAAATGATAGTTACCTTTCAATATCATATGGAGAGGTGGAGCCCCCTTTCTTTTTTTTTTTGTTGGTCTTGTTCAAATTGATCCACTGTGGTATGATAAGGTTCTCTGGAAAACAGATCATGACATGCAAACCAAATTTCTGAAATGCAGATCATGAAATCTCTGAAAAATAAATCTATAAAATTGCCATTTAGTTATTCTTTCCATACTATTGAGAACCTTGTGAGGGAACAAATTCTTAGGATTTAGTTTCTTAGGAATCACATAAACCAGTAAAATTAATTGCTAAAAATAATGATCAAACTAGGAATTATATGAGCGAGATCTGTGAAATGATGATCCAAAAAAGTTCTTCATTAATACTTGCCGGGATGGATTTTTTGTGATACTTGCCGGCCTTTATTCTGATATTTATTTCTTTGTTCAATTTATTCTGATTTCTTGGTTCAATTTATAGTTCCAACATATCATTCTTTGGTTCAATTTACAGTTCCAACATATCAGTTCAATTTATTCTGATTTCTTGGTTCTTATATTATCTCCATATTTTGTTTTTGTTCACAGATCATTTTTTTATGGATGAAATGACTTCATAATCATTTGCTCAAGTTGATTCTAATAGTAACATCCTAATTACTAATGACATTCAGTGTGAGGGACAAGATTTAAAAAAAACGATCTAGAGTTTGGGAGTATTTTGAAAAGATTGAAGCTACAGATGAAGCTCAATGTCAGCATTGTGGTAAGATTTACAATTATCATGCAAGGAAAACAGGTACTTCATCCTTACTTTATCATTTAGATCGTTGTAAATCCTATTTGACAAGTGTAAATAAGAAGGACACATCTCAATTAAAGTTAATTGGTGCATTCAAAAAAGATTGAGATGGTGTTAGTAGTAACCTTAGTATTGCTAAATTCAATGAAAAGAAAATTAGGGAGGCAATTGCTACTATGATTATAGTTGATGAATTGCCGTTCCGATTTGTTGAAGGAGAAGGATTTAGAGACTTGATAAGGACTGTTGAACCTAGATTTTGTATACCTTCTCGTACCACTGTGATGAGAGATTGTTTGCAATTATATATGGTGGAGAAAGAAAAATTGAAGCATATCACATCTAATTTGTTTTTTCAAGAACTTTCTACTGT